TTTGACCTGTATGTATGTTTGTTTGTATGTATGTATGTTTATGCGCATATCTTGCGATTGGCTAAACCGATTTTGATGCGGTTTTCCGAAAGTGTTGTTTGCACTTAGGAGTTTCGTTAGTTTAGTTATGTGAAAACATTGTAGAGTAGGTGTAAAAAAAATTTGTGTTGAATGGTTATAACCAAGATCCTAATCAGACTACAGACTGATTAATATACGTATACCCGCTTCATCTTATACCTCACAGCTCATGAAATATAAGAGTGTAGTGTTGGTGCGAGCCGCTTTGTGTTCCGTACAATGCTGCGGTGTATTAGCCTCACCACACACTGCCTGGTAATACACCTGCAATCACATACATTTCGTACAGCAGCTCTACGACCTACCGCTATGAGATATATCAACTGTTTATGACATATTGTGGCTACGAGGTGATATTGAGGCTATTTTTGTGTGAGGCTGTCTTGTTAATTCGGGAGTTGGATTAAATTCATGTCTCAAAGTAAGCAATGTGTTAGGTTATGTTTCTGATACCAAGAATCTTGATTTGTCCATTCTATATACTGGACTTTGATGAAAATAAAAATAAGGTACTGTAACTTACCTCCAAAGAGGAACATCATCATCATCATCATCATCATCTATTAAATGGTTTCCTGGCTAGAAGATGACCTCATAACAAGAACCTTTTTTATGGTAAGCAGACGGCCCACCTGATGGTAAGCAATCGGCGTCGCCCATGGACACCTGGAACACCAGTAGTATTACGGCGTCGTCCAAGACCACCTGGAACACCAGTAGCATTACAAGTGCGTTACCCGCCTTTTGGGGATAAGAATTTGAGGATTGTTGGGGATTCAGGGATTGGGAAAGGCGGGAGAAGTAATTGGGTCTCCTGAACCTCACTAACACGACGAAATACAACGATCACGTTGGTCTTCTGTTAGGCCGTGGTATCATTCCAGTCGAGCCGGCCCATTTGTGCCGAAGCATGGTTCTCCCATACACTAATTTCCTTTTTCGTAGAATAACTTATATTATGTAAGAAGCTCTCTTTATGTAACTGATTCTAAATCTAGTCAAACGATCTACTAGCAATAAACATGTACCTCCGAGCAATCCCGAAATCCCGCAGCGAACTAAATATATCCAGCAGATAGTGTAATCAATCTATTAGATTAACGATTAATAGACCGGAGAGTGATTACTTGACGCTCCAAGGTCACTGACCTCACTAAATGAAGCTGAAAAAGTTAATAAACTGTTCAGCTCGGCCGACTGATCAATGTGGCCTAAAAATAAGTTCTTTGAAATAACTTGTAAGTTTCTAGATTATGTTGCAGGGTGGACTTCAAAGGTCGAGTGAAAGAGGTGGGGGTAAAAAGGAGGTGGAAACTGTTTTTTTTATTAATCGGCTTTTTATGGAATAATCTGGTAAACGAGCAGATATATTACCTCATAGTAAGCAATTGGCGTCACCCATCGACACCCAAAACACAAATTATTGTTCGTTTGGATTTTCTATTAGTGTAAATTCGTATGTAAACTTCATAATTATGTGTGATTTTGCGACGTCATCCGTTGATTTGTTTTCAACGATGATCTAGTGCGTGAGCTTTTTTTTGGCACGCGTCATAGCGATTAGTCAATTCTTACGATACCCTTGGAAATTTTAAGTTAGAATAAGGATTGTATGCACAAATTTTCCTATATCGTGATCACATGACTTGTATATTTTTAAAGCAAGACAGGAAAATCGTGGTTAACCAGCATATACTCTTACGTAAACTAAACTAACAAGGCAAAGTTTAGTAAACAATGCCTTTGCAAAACTGCATGTGAACTACTTACTAACTAAATCCTTTACACGTAGTATGTTGTCTGGTCATATCAAGTGAAAACTTTAATACTTACTTTCACCCCTCAACTGGTTTTAACAAGCAACTTTAAAAAAGTGCATACCCTGGAAGTTTTTCCTGCGTTGTCTGTGTGTTAAGAACAAATACATGTAGTAGGTAGATAATGTAATAATGTTTTTGGGTTTAGGTATGCTTTATTGGTTAATCGTTAATGTTATGGAATGATAATAATTTGTAGATCATACAATAAACATCGTGGTAGGCTCAGAAGCAGATGGCGAGATGAACTTGAAGCCTATGACAAGGATTGGCCACTGAAAACTATAAGAAGAGACGAGTGGAAGGAGAGCTTTGCCTGAGCCTTTGCCCTCCAGTGAATGACCATGACCAAAAAATGCTAGGGTAGATGCCTTATTTTAATTTTAATGTCCGTCTGGTAGATTATTTTAAATCATTAGACACGTATTTTTATTTTCTTACAGAAACGTATACTTTCGACGATATGTTGATTTGAAATGTCACGTGACGTCACTTCTATTTACATTTTATACGTTTTAGCCCCCACTCCTAAACTTTGATTCGTTTTATCTACCTAAGTATCATTTTATTATACAACAAAAAAAATACGTTACTAATATTTTTTCATTACCTAACTGACGGACTGACTGATTATATTTTTAATTTTCGTACCCTATCATCATCCCAATTGAATCTGCTATGCGTAGCCTTCCACTCTGCACTCTGTGACCTGGTCCCTGTGTCCTGTATCTCCGAGGCAAACTACTAGACTATTTTTTGATTTTGAACTCGCTGTGGGTCATATAAAAAACATGCGTTTTGAACTGTGACAAACCACAGACGGTATCGAGGGACTTAAATACAAAATTAGATTTCAAAGTTTTAGGATCAATTGATGATTTTAATACCACGGAGACTAACTCGTCTTTGCGTGGATCATAGGTCGGATAGTCAATTTGTCACAGACCTTATGAGTTATTATTAAGATTAGTTTTTCTTTAGTTTGTTGCATATGTACCAATCACGAACTTTTGAAGTCAGTTGACGACGACCAATAAATCACTTTAATTAAGTAAATAACATAACATAACACAACATCACGCCTTTTATCTCCGAAGGGGTAGGCAGAGGTGCACATTATGCAACTGTATAATGTAACACCCACTTATCTCTATTTATATTACGAGTCCCATTGCCATATACCGGGCACTATTCCAGACTCAGCGTTACTACTGAGATTTTTTTTAAAACCCAGTAATATTTTGCCCGGCCCGGGAATCGAACCCGAGACCCCTTGCCCGGCAGTCGCACTTGCGACCACTCGGCCAACGAGGCAGCCAATTAAGTAAATAAAAGAATCTTTTTATCATAATTATGATATGAATTCTTATAACTGGTCACAATATTATCTACTTAATAGTGCTACTATTCATCAATTTAGAGAAGTATTAACCAAATAAAACGAGTGAATTGTAAAAACAGAATATATTTAAATCATCATCACATTTCTCGCATAGAAAGATAAAACGCTACGTCATAGGACCATGGCGTCCTAAACACATCTTATACTTTGGGTACAGTCGATAACAAAAGTAGCACTTTCAATTATTAAATATTTATTTGTCACTTATTTTATATTTGATTTTTATTATAAATTAATATTGTATTTTTTTTTCAACATAAGTGATATGGTAGATTAACTGTCAAAGTGAGATTTATTTTTTTATTTCAAACATTTTATTAAGTTATTGAGTTTTGTTAAACAATTAATCAATTTTTTCTAGTCAATTGATTATTTTCACACTTTTGTTATAGACTGCACCCAAAACAGCGAATAAAAACAGATCAACATAAAAGTTAAAAAATGTTAAATGACTAATACTTATTGCAATATTTACAGTTCAACGTAGTATAGATTCTTTCAATAAAGGGAACTGTTGAAAGTAAAAAGATATTGGTTTAATAGAATACCGTCTACTTTGCAAGTACTAAAACGTTCTATTAAGCCCGACTTTGGATAACATTTTATTATTTATAAATATCCTTCTATCTATGTTACAGATACGCTATAGACAAAACGTCTTATTGTAATAATATCATTAAATTTATTTAAATTGTTTAACTAACAATATGATAAAACGATTAAATATACGGATTCTTACAAGGAACCCTGTTGTTTTTATATACAATTTTACAATTTATTACTAATAGATTATAATAGACAGACATCTAATATTATTGTTTCGTTATTTATGAGTATTGCTTAAACAAATTTACATTGAGCCGAAAGACACAAGAATTAAGTTGAGCAACTTAAAATTACTTTATACTCTTTCTAATCCCCACGTGTGGCATGAAAACAAAAAACAAATTTCAACTTACGTACAAGTTTTGTTTATTATACCTACATACATTTTAGTATGGGTTTACTTGAAAGATACAAACACAATAAAGTAAATTTAGGTATCAAAATTTAATCAACAAACATGACTAAAAATATGTTTTTTATATTGCAATACCACGAGATGTTTAAACCTTAGGGTACTTTAAAATAAAAATATCATTCTTGAATATTTTGCGCTAAAAACAAAAATGTGTTCATTTCACACTTTTGCATATGACTCTACCAAATATTACAATCTTACATTTCTCGCCTGTGACAGACAGACTGAAAGTAACGAACGACATAATTGAAGATTTAATTCGAATAATTCAATAGCACAGAATAAATTGAGCAAACAATATTGTTATTGAGATCACATCAATTCTGCTAGAATATTTTTTAAATTACTATGCAAATAAAGTGATGCTCTTTTATTACATTGGAATCTTTATTTATTGAGATATAATAATTTATAATAAATTATCACGCAAACATTGTATGTAATCAGACAATATGCTCTGAAGACTGCGTTTTATGTAAATATGCAGCCATGATACTTCTTTATAAGTCGATTCTCTGTAAGGGCAAAAAGGGAAAATGATTATATCAATAAGTCCAATAACACTATACTATTCATTGAATAAATTTAAATGGAATGTGAATAAATTCTGAGATGCCCAATTCAAGGATTCAAGGTACTTTTTTAAATTAAAATATTTCATACTACAACATGATTATAAATTAAATTATTAAAAATAAAAGCATTTGATTAATACTTTGTTTTGGAAGATCATTGATTGCCACGTACATTTCATTCATATTTGTTTTAATATTTATCCTACAAAATAATCACCTAGTTATAAACTAGAAAACATTTTTTTGATATGATATATCGAGTTAAATATTGTACAAACAAGTGATAATTGAGTAAGAAGTTCAATACACTTTATTAAAAAAAAAACTTTAGTTTAATAACTCTAGTAGCCCGTTTATCATATGACATTTTTTTATGACAATGACATGACAAATTTTTACAATAATTTTGTCGCAGACTGTACTTTCTGTCAAAGTGAAACTAGTAGATACTTGCTCACATACTTTTGGTTTTATCAAGGCTTGCAAATTTTTATAAAGGTTCGCAACATTTCTGACTCAACCATCACTATTTGTGTAGTAAATTTTTACTAACATTTTCATATATATTATTTGGCAAGTTATTTACAAACTACCTTGTCAAATCTCGCAGTGCATTGTCTTCCATCGACGTTGTCATTCGTACAGCTAACTTTATCTATTTATTATATTATCTATTAGAACTAAGTAACTAGGAAGGGTGAGATATTGGGAGAAACGCGTGGACGGAAAAAGGCAAGAGAAAAAATAACGCTGCGAAAACTTCTGAGTATTCAAAAACAGAATTTTACACTTACAATTAACTTCTACATAAACATTTTTCGAGCGATTTCACTCAAACAATAACAAAGATTTACGCATTATTATACACAATATTCACATTAATGAGTTCAAAATAAATCTTTGGTTTCTTAATTATTTCACTACATTGTCTTCTTTGTGCTATAGTTACAGTTGATTTTAATTATTATTTTAATAATACTAAGAATTTCTTGTCGACTGTACATTATGCTATGAAGAAAAACGATTAACGATAAAATTGAAAATTAAAATAATCACAACCTTAAAATAACTAAAGCTTAGTAATATCGCGTCTAATATCTTTGGCATATAATACTGATGACTAGAAAACCGTGAGCTGTAAGCAAGCTATACAATACCGATACATTTTTACAATAAGTTTCAACTTTATAAATTACTTTTTAAATACATTTTGATATGCTATGTTGCTACGACTAACACACGACACATTTATTGGTTTATCACATTAAGTATAAACACCATTGTATGCGAATGTACTTTGTACAATTTGGTCGTCCAGTAGATCTCTCAAATATATTTATTGTAAGAGAAGAGTAAACATTTGTCGAAGATTTTTTGATACACGTTACTTAAGTTGCCTTTGGCACATAGGATCAGCAGTTCACAAGCAGGTAGTTTTAAGAAATTCTTCTGTTTTTTGGTGAGTTAAAGATAGACACAGATCCGAAGTCACATTTGAAAATATAAGAGTTTCCAGCCCACCTGCTTTGAAACTGAAGGACATATTCTTTGTCATCTTTCCAAAACAATAATTTGTATCCAAAAATCTTTCTAACAAAGCGAGATCTACTGAGTGAAGACGACCAAATAGTCTGCGGGCTAGGTGCCGCAATGGAGTATTTTCCTGAACGCCTTCCTGAATTCAGGGTTGAAGATGGTGTAGATGACGGGGTTGAGGAACGAGTTGATGTAGCCCAGCCACGTGGTCAGGATGAACACCGTCACTCCAGGGTCAAAGGAGAGGCCAATCTTGTCGCAGATGGCGCCGAGGACTGAACACGTGAAGAATGGCGCCCAGCAGAAGAGGAACACACCTAGAATGACGCGACAGGTATTAGTCATTATCATCAGAGTTAGTAAGAAGATGTCAAATGTGGTACAGATATCAGCAGATAATACTAATACTTCTAGAGGTGTCAACAACTCCAACATATGTACAGTTAAAGATATTGTTCTATCAAAATTCGATATGAATGTAAGTTCACTCGAATATGTTAAAAGCCATTATTGGTCCTAGACATATTTATCTTACTAAAAGGTGGATTGTCATAAAATGTCTCTAGAAATGATCTATGTTTTATTCATGTTCTCAAACATTCCATTTCGTAAAATCAGTGTATTTAGGGTGATTTGAATTACATGGTCATAAAATTGGACCTTACCTAAAACTATTGCCAATGTCTTAGTAGCCTTCCTTTCTTTCTTCGCAGAAGATTTCTCTCTTTTCTTCTTGCTGGCTTTGTTTGCTTTGTATATGGTGAAGCGAGCAGTTGCTGCGCTTGCTTTTCTTTCTTTTTTGGAGCTGGAACCGTCTCGAAGGTCGAACTGGCTGGCTGTGACATCTTCTTCTGACCGGAGTGCTAGTGACACGTTCCTGGGACAAGATTGTTTTTATTAGATTGATAATCAGATGAATTTCTTTTTTTTCTAAATGTGATATATTTACTTAGTATTGCGAAATCGCGCAATACTCATTCTCAAGAAATCTGTTAAAAAGATTATACACTCATCTCTCACCTCGAATCTGTAGTTAACTTAGAAGAAGTCTTCCCATTCTTCTTCCACTTGGATCCATCGCATGCCATGTTCTTCAGCACTGTGGCGTCTTTCATGCCTGGTGACCCTGGAGGTGACACGTGTTCCCTGATGGTGTCCTCAAGGTTGGAAGGCGCGTACCCTGAGTCGTTGTTGCCATTCGGGTCTGGGGTTGCTTGAGATTTGATGTTTCTTTTTGGTGTGCTGGGAGGAGGAAGAGAAATTGTTGGATGAAAACAAAAAACATGGATGTCTATACATATAATAACTATTTTTTTATGTGATTATAAATAATAATCACTAATAATTAATATTTTGTCATAGTCTAGTCGATATTCGATTTCAAAATTGTTTTTCTTCTACATCATTGTGTATTTGTAGCGAAAAACGTTCTTCATTTAAAATAAATACAAGCCAAAAGAAATTATTAAAATCACTATAATTTTGTGAGTGAGTGTCGCAACCATTTTGAATGATTGCAGTCATCAGTAGAATGATGATCCATTAATCACTCGGCAGTCCATTCATTATTGTTGTCCCCAGTAACGTCAACATTTCAACTGATTCAAAAGAATTTCAAATGAAAGCAGTTATCGTGGTCATTGTATTTTCTGTTTCATTCCAGTATTTGTCAAAATATAGAACCGTTTATGATTCGAAGGTTTTAATGGAACTGTAGGACTGCCAAATTGGCCGAGTGGTCGCAAGTGCGACTGCCGGGCAAGGGGTTTCGGATTCGATTCCCAAGTCGGGCAATGAATTATTGGGTTTTTTAGAAATCTCAGTAGTAGCACGAAGTCTGGAAATTTGCCTGGTATATGGCAATAGATCGCCCCCCGATTATATGGGACTCAAAACATAAATAGTGATAAGTGGGTGTTACATTGTACAAGTGACATTAAGTGCCGTAATGTACAGCTCTGCCTACGCCTTCGGTGATAAATGTATATAAATATGTAGGTTTTTAAGCAGGCAAATATTACCTAGATTTTAAAGTTTTAACTTCAAATCTAGCCTAAATTGGCGTATAAGTAAATTCTTTAAAAACAAATCCTTGTTCTACATTCTTAATAACATACTAACGTGTAGTTTTCACCTGTATATGCACGCATCCATATCACAAAGAAGAAAAACATAATATCACCCATGAATTGGAAAAAACTAGATTCCTATTCCATAATATCACTAAACAACCCTGTATAAAACCTCGACAAATGAGGCAGTACAATATAACAATAAAATATAATTTATTCGTGTGTTGATTCTACAGTCTACATCACAAGGCAGTAATTGCTTTACTTTACTAAGGCATTGAGGCTTTTTGCATAATTAAATTAAAGTAATCAATATCATTGTGTTCCAAGTTATTTCCAATGTGTTTACTTCTGAATTAATAACGAACTGACAAAGATCCATTATTCAAATTCTAGACTTTGCCATAATACGGCCTATAGTTTCAAAGGAATTTATATTTTGTATAAATACTGAGGCTGGGGGAAATTGTTGATTTGGAGTTTACTGTATAATTATATTAAAATCTAAATTATCAATTACTTAAAGTGTAATAGACGGCCTCGTTGGCCGAGTTGTCTCGGGTGCAAATGTCGGGCAAGGGGTCTCGGGTTCGATTCCCGGGATGGGCAAGATAATACCAAGATAATAATCTGGAGTGTGACACAGTGAGCGCGGTATGTAACACTGTCTTTGCACCCGGGATTCGAACCCAACAACACCAACGCAGCTGCAGGCGGGCGAGTCTAGCGTGCCAACAGTGCCACGCGCGCCACCGTCGCCGATACCACGAATGGATAAAAGTGCGCGTGAATCATGGCAGAGGGCGCGCTGGGCCCGCAGACTCGAGTAGCTAGTAGCAGCGCGACAGTCGCCGCGTCGCGGGTCGCGAAATGCTGCTCATGAATATGAGCCTCTAGCATGGCTTGAAACTAGTCAAGTTCCTCGAGACCTCCAGACAAACAGTTGCTCCGTGCATGTATCGAACTTGCGATACTTTGCTCGGGGGCTGTTGCCCAGCCACTGCACCAACCACACCGTCAATTTTTTTCAGTAATCTACTCACTTGACTGTCTCCTCCGTGACAGTAGCCAGCATGAACTCGGTAGACTTGTCGTTCGGGATCACGTGGCACTCGTCTGCGTCTGCCTCCAAATCCGCTGACCTCTTGTCGAAACTGTTTTAGGACCAAATTATACAGAATATTAATTGGATTAACACTGTAAAGTAATTACCTTATGATACTCTTATGTCATTGTGGTGTTGAAGACGAATATAAGGCTACGGTACCTCTTTTATATTAGATAGGTCGTTACCTCTTCGTCTTCGTCTTGTTACCTCAATGGTTATCAATAAAGAAAAAAATTGAATTTGAGAAAGTACTATAAATATTTCATAAATTTAAAATTTCTATAGAAGAATCTCGGTAGGTATGCTATATACTGGTTTTCAATTTATGTTTAAATCATGAGAATTTAAGCCTATCTACTCCTAATTTATTATGACAGAGGTAGGTAATATTCCTACAGCCCCCACCGTCCTCAATAAAACACTATTTAAATTACACAATTGTTCTCGTCTTCTGTCGCCATTTCTTGTAAATAAGCACCTTTTGAGTCCCACTGTTCCGCTCGAATCAGCGTTGAAATAAATAGAAACGTTTTTCCAAATTACGACGAACATTCTAGTCTAGCGTAATTTATTATTAAGGTGCTGTAATTGAAACGGAACTGTCATTGTAAAATGAACCTTATTGCAATGTACGTGGCTCTGTAGCTGACATAAATTTCATCAAATCTTCCAGCCACCGTTTCAACAGAATAGATCAACGTTTTATGAATACCTTTTTGTCATCAAGTACTTTGAGCGGACAATTTTCAGATAGCAATAGGTGCCTTTATACTGTAGGGAAATGCTGGCGATTTTCAAATGTATTGTTGATTCTTTTGATCTTTGAAGTCAATTCTTTATCTAGATGAACAACATCAGTAGCAATGTCACAACAGAAACGAACATTATTTCGAAAGTAGGTACATTACTTATTTTTAATGGAAAAACAAAAGTCGTATAATTACAAGATACTAACATAAAATTATTATGACAATGAACGTAGACTATGTAGGTATAAAGCTAAACTTTAATCAGGTGCGCTGAAGTTCAACGTCCACGAGTGTCGTATGTAGATAGAAATAAAGACAAAATTACAATAACAAAACAAAGAGGATCCTTTGTAATTAAGATGTGAAGCTTCAACGAGAGCTTCCCACCCTCCACACGTGTGTTACAGGTTATTCCACGACTTAAGAAAATAATTATATTAAACTCTACAACCCTGTGGCGAAGCAATGTTCATTTTGAAGGAGCTTCCATATTAATTTCTACAATAACTACTTACTTACAAAAGAGGATGTAATTACAAATTATTAAATGGTTAGTAACAACAATGTTTAAGCCTCTAAATTCATTATATTCTCTCAAAATTCCCTTTCTAAGCTCCTATCTTTTCTTAGTAATTTCTTAGTACTGTACCTATGTTTAGTAGTATAACAAATAGACGTCAAAACGACTTACAATTATATAGATTGTTCAAGTTGCTTTTGACTTTTCTGTTATTAATAACAACAAAATTAATATAATAAAAACATCGCACAAACTCTTATATGTCTTTGGAATAAAGTCCAAACTTCTTTGTACAATGTAGACATTTTTTAATTAATTTGGTTCTCACCTGTCTTCATGATCATCTTCATTGCTGCCAGACCCAGTATTAGTTGGTCTGTCATCATGTAGTGCAGTCTCTGCCAGCCTTCTCGTTTGAGCCACGTTTTCTATCACCACCGCTGTGGTGGCTCCTGTATTGGGGTCACCAGATACTGGCGGCTTTTTTGCTGCTCTCTGCTTTTTTGCACGGTTTCTTAATGCCTGTGTATATATATTTGATTTTAGTAAAGGTGTTTTATTGACTCCCTGGAAATTTCCTGGAAGGTAAGTATTAACATCCTAAAACAAACTTTGGACAACTTTTTATTTACCTCTATAGTTCACAAGAGAAAAGAGCATCTAAATTCGATTTATTTTCAAAAAACTATTTATTATCTACGTTTATCGTTTATCTAGTTCCAGTTGAAAACAAAAATAATAAAGGAATCTAAATGTCTACCTGTTCCAGAGAATTCAGACGTAAAATCTCACACGTGTTACGAGTTCGACCTACAAAGTTTGCCAGTTTGCAAAAATCCGTTACAACAACACCCTGTACACTTGTACAGTATGTATGTATATTGTAACATGAACAACAAAACCGAGGCTGTGCCAAAAACGTGTCTACAACACATGCTGGCTACTACACCGATAGGTTAGGTATGGGATATTTAAAACTTCGTTGCTTAGTAATAGTTATTAAGTTTCGGTGCCATGTTATTGAATTTTCCTCCTAGAACAACATCGGTTGCTTTTTAAATTTTGGAAATCTGCCCAGTAGTGTTTGGAATCGTTTATCAAGAGTTTATTTTTATTTAACTGGTTGAATAGTCTTGCTAACCTATGTTACACTTCTATAAGTGTGTTGGTAATTACTTCTAGATCATTTAGTTGGTAAACTTAGGTTTAATCAATATCATGCTTGGGTTCATATCTATCCTTGATTCTCATGTGTACGTCTAGACTACAAATAAGCAAACTTACTGAATTATTGAAACAAATTCAACCAGCAGGGAATCATTCTATGGATTCTTAGAAATGTCTGAGACATATTAGCGATCGATTGTACAATTATTGGGACGATAATATTTCTTAGAAAATCTATTTATTTCATTTACATTGAAAGCCTAGTCTAATAAATTTTAGTAAATGAAGAAGTGGCTAATGGTTTCTCACATTCATTTCAAACCACAATTTTAGCCAAAATCTTATTGGACAAATCCAAGACCTAAACTCATCGGGTTGTCTCTTTGGAATTTGAGCTAAACACTCAGAATATATTATTTATGCTTGTCTGGACGAACCAATTGAGATGGGACTTAATACCAGCCTCGAATATCAAACCTAATTCCAACTTGGAGGTCACATATTTCGGGTCTAATTGAAACTGGGATGGTAACCTTGTTAATGCTAAGTGATCTTGCACCATATATACGTTGATATAGAGCTGTTATTGCTTCGTTATGAAGTGGTTAATGCTTAGTAAGAGACTAGGGAAACGCATTCTGTATAGCGTTGATTTTGTTAAAGTTGTTTTTGTTGGAGTGATTTAAATTGAAACAACGCTGTTGTAGCAACGCTTGAGTATAAACTATTTCAAAATGCTAGTTATTTTTTCTAATTCTGCTACAAACTCACATCACTCAAAAAAATCGAGGTTTTAAATTTTTACCTCAGTCACAATAATGACACGACTGATTTTGTTGTGACATAATTCAGTCTAATTGAAGGGTAAAGCATTAATGATAATTTCACAGCAAAAGATAATACTAACCTTAAAAATATTATAATAGAGGAACATCATCATGATGCAGGGGATGTAGAAGGAACCTAAAGAAGAGTAGATGACGTAGTTCTGGCTGTTGAAGAGGCACTCATCGAAGTTTCTGTCAGGCGTGTCATTGAGGCCCAGGACTATGGGAGCACCAATTGCTGCGGAAATCAGCCAGACCAGGACGATGGTGAACCAGACTCGTTTGTTGTTCTTGTGCTTTGCATATTTTATTGGCTGCGTTACTGCAATGTACCTGGTGGAAGATATAAAGAAGGTTAAAATTTGTGCAGGTTATTAAAAATTTGGTTTGGTCTTCTTTAATAATTTTGAACTTTCCTTCTGTTGTAGTTTTCGAGACATGTATAGTTTCTTTTCTCTGTATGATCGATCTTTTATTCCCGAAGATTTTGATCGTCATTCTTGTCTTGATTACTTTCGTCGGATTTTTTCGTCGTTAGGATTAAAAAACCGATGATTAAAAAAATACTTAGTATTGACAGCAGAAAAATATGCTTACAAATAATTTTGTTCCTACTTGTCAAAACAATTACATTTTAAACAAAGATTCTGCAATATAAACATGAATTGTGCATTGTGAAAGAAACACATTCGTATATCGAAGTGAAGCCCAGTGAGCAAGCATAACTGACACAATTCGATGCGGTTATAGAGCAATTGGCTGCACATGTGCGGAATTGATTCCAGAGCACCGAGCGCTGGAACAGGACACAGGTAGAGAGCTCACTTCATTTTGTTGTTTGTGTTTATCAATTGCATGGATATTTGCAGGTAAAGGGCGTTTTTAGATTACAGAACTGATTGAAAAGGAGATGAAAATATCTGATTAGAAACTCTTGGATCTTTAGAGCATTATTAGAGTATAGAAATTATGATATTCCTTTGGTGAATAGGGTAATGAAGGAGAGGTCTATACCAGTAGAATATAATGAACTGTTGACATCATAGATGAAATCGACTAAAATAAAGATAACTAAAAAGATAATACTACGAGGTACCAACCTATCAACAGATATGGCGACGAGGTTGAATATACTGGAGGTGGAGGAGGTGACGTCCATCGCGATGTACACGTCGCACACGAAGGCTGGAAGACCCCACGAGCCGTTTACCTGGAACAAGACAATAATGTTGTTATTTATGTTATGATCGTTAATTGTAAAGATGAGTACAAAATATTATAACTTCCAACATTTAATAAGGATGATGATAAAGCATCAAAAATACTTTAAACGTTAAGGGTTTTAAGAGAAGGTGATCTTTGTTGCGCTAAAATGTTATGTGCTAAAAATCCACTAAAGTTAAAATCCAGTATATCCGTGATAATTGACAAGCAAAACAACTCTCCTGGTTATATTACAGAAATCCTTTTAATCTGATTTGACTGTTAGAGACTGGGATAACATAATCAAGATTTGCATTAAATTAAGTTATCTATTCCAAAATATCCTTCACCAAGCCCATTCACTTTAATACAAACAAATGTAATAATATTATACCTAATTAATATAAAGACAAGAAGACCACGATACTGAAACGAGATAGAGATAGAAGCCACAGGAATCAGATTGCACACCAAGATTACAACCGCCTTATCACAAGGGTGTCCCAAATTCAGAAATAAACGCCTCCAGTCTGATATTTAATTTAGATTAAACAAAACGTGTTTACAGTATGATATTGGTATCGTATTTCCACTTTAGTTTGGGCGTGTTATAACAAATGTGACCATCTGTCACGCTCCGTGATTTATGCGAGCGACGTGATGCAGCGTGTCAAGTACGCAGCGAGTGACAACAGATCATGTGCCGTCCCATTTCGAATCAGATGCTAATGTTTTTCTAATAAGACAATTTTAATATCATCCTGTGCGTTCTAAGTGACGATTAAATGATATAAGTCTTAGTGTGTTATTGCGATATTGAAATACTGCCTCGTTGGCTGAGTGGTCGCTAGTGCGACTGCCGGGCAAGGGGTCTCGGGTTCGATTCCCGGGTCGGGCAAAGTATTACTAGTTTTAAAAAAAATCTCAGTAGTGGCACGGAGTCTGGAAATGTGTCCGGTATATGGCAATAGGCTCACCCCCTATTACGTGGGACTCATAATATAAATAGTGAGCAATGGGTGTTACATTGTACTGCGGCATAATGTGCACCTCTGCCTACCTCTTTCGGGAATAAAAGGCGTGATGTTATGTTGAAACAAAACAAACAAAACGCTACTGGTGCCGTTTCTTTGCTACCAAGAGGATATATTAAAATACCTGAATTGAACAATCACATAGCATCTTTCAACTACTCCATAAAATATTAAACCATTCAAAAACACTCCACACTACCCCAGCTCATTCTTTCGCGACTGACCACATATTTACGAAGCTTACATCGGCGTGCAGTTGGTACACAGTTCGATGCCTGTGCATGAATATTCATGATATTGATACGACGCTGATCCATGTGATCAGGTTGCGGGGAACGGCAAATTGGAAAAGTTACATGTGTGTGTGTGTAAGAGTGATATTATCACGTGTCTGTGTGTGTGGACTGAGTTGGGGGTAACTGTTATAATATATTGATAATGACGTTGTTTTTGTTCTAGTGGTATTTAGAACTTATGTTAAGAAAGTCATATAATTATTATAACAGTTATAACGTCATATTGTTACGCACCTAATGTTAGGTACATAGCTTTAAAATTTTCGAATATGCTAAATCTAAAAGCAATGTTCTAAACAATTGGAGTTGTAATCCCAATAAGGACGCGACGCCTTTACATGATGATGGTGAGACATCTCAAATTAAACAAAACAGTTTAAGTGGGGGAGAGCCATGCTTCGACACGAATGGGCCGGCTCAACCGGAGTGATACCACGGCCTCACAGAAAACCGGCGTGAAACAATACTTGCGTTGTGTTTCGACGTGTGAGTGAGGATACCGAAGGCCCAATCTCCCCAATCCCTGAATCTCCAACAATCCTCAAATACCTATCCCCAAAAGGCCGGTAACGCACTTCGCCTCTAGTGTTTTGGGTGTCCATGAGCAACGCCGATTGCTTACCATCAGGTGATCCAAAGTCAAAGTCAAAGTCAAAGTCAAAGTCAAAGTCAAAATCATTTATTTCAATTAGGCCAGAATGGCACTTTTGAACGTCAAAAAAAAATTGAAAGTGAAGCTATTTGCTCATTCCAAGGCGTAGATTCCTATGGAGAAGAACGAGCAAGAAACTCCATAGGTTACTCTTTTTCAATCAGGTTCACAATACAATTTACTAGTTACATAGTATTGCTGTTTGGATTGTGCGAGAACAATGTAACACTAAATCCAGTCAAAGTGATCAAAAAAGAAAATAACCTTAAGGACAATAATACAGTCTGGAGCTGACCAGTCCCAGTTGACGGCGCCTGTTCACGAACATGACACGTACACCAGCACCGCCCAACTCAACCATATTGTAGGGAATCGAGCGATCCACTGCACGCGCCACCGTCAATGAGACCTTTGAGTGAGCATGACAACTCCAAACTGACACAAATGAAATGCTCGGTTACCGGCTGATCACATACAAAAAATATCTTTATGTGCGCAATCAATGAGCAAA